GTCCGCATATTGATGGTATCTAATCCCGTGCCTGCGGATGATCTCTCCCAGCGGTTTCATGTAGATGTTGAATAGCAGTGATTATATGTCTACGTCCAAAGAAGTCATTGAAATGGCATATTTAAACATATGTGACTGCAGAGGAAAAGATGGTTGTACATAAGAGTGAAAATAGTATAAAACAAAGGAAGTGTTGATTTCTCTTGTTTTCACATGTTAAATTACTGACAGATCATGGTCTGTTTACAAATCAATAGCAGTAGACTTATATACCGCTTCATAGGCCTTTCAGGCCTCTCTAAGCGGTTTACAGAGAGTCAGCATATTGCCCCCAACAATCTGGGTCCTCATACCTAGGTGGATACATAATTAAAAATAACCTTAGTTTTATGGTCACAGTTGCATATCCCTGGTTGATTCTGGGAAGAGAGCAGAAGTTACCACATTCAGAATTGGGTTTTATCTGACTTACCTGAGCTGGTAGCCTATATGCAACTATCTATGTGCCTTTTTTCTTTATTTCACCACAGTATTTAGGTGACACAATGGGCAAAAATATATTTCTGGTAGACACCTGCAATAGATGTGCCATATTTTCCTTTTTCCTAGAAGCCAAAATGGTTCAGTGTCTTTCTGTAGAATTTTGAAAGCAAAGTTTATGTATAACAGGCCAGAATAATATGCTTGCACCACATTTGTCCCCAAGGAGCACTTATTAATAGTAGTAGTGTAGCTGCTGCAAGTAGGAGAGCAATGTAAAGTTTATATTTTACCCAAATGATGGAAATAAAAACAGCTGACAATAAAGTACTATCAGATCAAAACAACCACAAAGCTCTTTTCATTCTCTAAACTTTGGCACCCAATTTCAACCTCTAGCCTTCAAAGAAATTCCTATGTGTGTAAGTCAGCTATAAAAGACTCACGCAGCAGAAACCCTTGTCACTGGATCCAAATGACAGTCATCTGTCACAACTTATTGAGAAGAAACTGAAGACTGTTATTGCAGCTGACACTTTCTGAAGCATTGAAGCTTCCATTTATCATCTAAATCTTTCACCTTGTCATGTATAATGTCTCCCTCGTGTCCAGATATGAACTGTGATGAAAAGACTGGTAGGATTCATACAAGCTGCTGATCACAGACGCTTTGTGCTCAACTATGGGGGCACAAATTATGCTGCAAGTCATAATCTCCAGCATATCAAGAGTGACTTCATAGTTTTGGGTGAAGGGTAAAGGATATTGGGTTTAAGATGATGGTATCATTAAAAAAACCAACCTTTTTGAAGGCAAAAGTCCAGGAACAGAAAAGAAAAGAGAAAAAAAGAACTCAGGTTCACAACATTGGTGCAAACAATGTAGTGAATGAGCTGTTGTGTAGAGATAGAATTCATCTCATTGAACTGAGAAAGTACATTTTGGGATGATGGAGAGCTAATCTGACTAAGAAGCTGTTAAACTAGTGAGTGGAAATTGTAAGACCACTGATGAGTAAACCACTGCCAAGTAAATGGAGTGAATACAGCAGCAAAGTGAAATAATTTGGGAATTGCCAGTTCTACAAAGCAAGGTAGACATGAAGGAAAAGGAAACACAGGGAAGTTATCCCATTATCTGAAATGTCCCTACACCAGGTCTGCAGAATTCTTGGAAGGCAAAAGTGGTAGATTAATACATTTAAAGTAACTGCAGGCCAGAAAGAAACAACTGGCAGCACAGTGGCAGTGATGCAACTAGCAATGTATATAAGGCTCAGAGGTACTGTCTTTTGGGCTGGAAGTTATTGCAACAACCTTGGAAGCTTTGTTTGGCAGCAGTGGATTGGTTGTTTTTCCACAAGCTCAGGCACAAAGCAGCTTGGTGGGCTGCAAATTGTGCTCCATGCTAATGACAAAATATGGTTTAAAAACATGATCTGGATCATGAGGCAGAAAGACAAACATGGTGCAATAGGGATTACAGAAACAGTGGAATGAATCCCATCAGTGGAACATTGATCTTGATAAGTATACTTTGTTTTAGAGGAACAAGCAGTACAAGACTGGACGTGGTTATAGTCAAAAATTAACTTAATTAGTTGTAAATTAACTTTACTTAGATCATTTGGATTGGTAACAGCCTGAGCATGGACAGTATCTGGCAAGCTAACAGAAAGGAAAGCTTTCATGTCAGCTCCAAACCAGTCAGAAGAGATAGAGCCTTGCCTGTGAAATCAGATTAGCCCTGACCCTGCTGGTCTTCTGTAAGGCCTTAAAGACATTTTATTCAGAAAACAGTTGACAAGTTTTGTACTGCCAAGACACTAGAATCAGAAGTAATTAACTGAGTTGCAGCTACTTAGATTGTGTTTAAAAAAAAACAGGAAAAAAAATCTTGACAGTAAATCTTTACAGCACTGAAGCATATGATGGTTTCAGATTCTCAACTCTGGATTCCACCCCTCCCCCCCAATAGTGGACAACCACTTTTCACATTTGGTTTGTGTTTTTGTGTTTTGCAGAGGGCTGGACTATAGGATTATTGTGGTTTCTTCCAATTCAATTAATTTATAATTCTATCAGGAGAAGAGAGTCAGTAAACATAAACCAGAACATGTGTAGGAGCCGAGCCAGATTAATTTGGCTGCACTAGAATTTTGTTACCTAAATTCATTGCCATACAAGGCACGTATAAGTGGCTTTTATTCTAATTAAGGCTTTCAGTGTTATACTCCCTCACTTTGATACAGATGCTAATATATTTGATTGGGTGTCTGCATATATGTACACAGATACCACAAACATTATAAATACAAATTTCAATACAACTCTCAATTTTTAGAAAAAGTATTGAAAAGTTGCCTAGCAATTTGGAGAAAGCACTATGTTTAAAGAAACTCTTCAAAAAGAGCAAGCAAATCCATTTCCTTTCCCCCTCTATAAAGGTACTTGTGTGTTGTGAAGAGTGAAGTTTCGGTCAGCATCATGAACTATTAATGGACATTTTCTGCTATTTATTCAGCCTCAACTTCTGCTTGAAAAGCAGAAGTGAAGTCTTGACTGTTGCCTTTCTCAAGAAGCAGTGGTTGCAGGTGCAATATCTATAGAAGGCTTTCCCCCAGCATCCTTTGTACAATACACTCATCGGTTCCTCTATAAACTATATTTAGTGATATGAGTACATAGCATTTCTGGACTTTAAAAAGATGATAATCCTATTAATTAAACTGATGGTAATGATGGAGCTTAGAACATATTGCCTCCCAGGTAGAATATGATCTGCTTGAATCAGCCCAGACATTGTAGAGCCTTTGTCTTCTGAACAATAAATTTTAACAGGTAAACACATTACAATATTTTCTCTAGCCCTTTCTCTCTAGCTCCTCCTCCTTGGGTGATAATGATAAAAATAGTAAAATTGAAGCGCATGTGGCATACAGCAGAAAGCAATGCCATTTGGAGGTGGGTGAAGGCAATATTGGCTAAGAAGAATAGAAAGCTGAGAGAGGAGATTTGGAATTTAATTTCTTATCAATAACCTGAACTGTTTGTTCAGTTTCTGGTATCTTACTTTATTTTCTCAGGTGTGCTTCTAGGTAGCATTGAGATGCCTACAATTCCATTTCTACCATATTCAATCCTTATGGGAAATCTGGGCATCCTGTGTTTGGGGCTTACAATATATTGGAGTCAGCACTGGCTTGGCGGCTTGGCCTGGGATGGTTCTCGTAAGATGTTTAATTGGCACCCAGTTCTCATGGTGACAGGCATGATGGTCTTATATGGTACAGGTAAGTGGGGAAAAAAACCAGTTTCTCTGTCCTTTCCCCCTCCTTTTGGTATGTAAGTGGTGATAGTGTCAGAGCACATCTCGCTCTGATGGTTCCCCCCTTTTTCCTCTGCAGCAGCACTGGTGTACCGTTTGCCCTTTTCCCAAATGGGTTCCAAGCTTCCTTGGAAGATGCTGCATGCAATCCTTGCTTTGATAGCATTTATCTCTGCCATTCTGGGATTGGAGGCTGTCTTCAAGTTTCACAATGTGCAGAAGATCCCCAACATGTACTCACTACACAGCTGGCTTGGGCTCTCTGCTGTGCTACTTTTCTCATGCCAGGTAGGTAAGAACATAGCAATGGATTGATTTATGTCAAAAATATATATCCCACTAGTTTCCCAGAGAAGAGATGAAAGGCTGGAAACAAACAAGATCAGCAATATTCACTGTAACCCCCAATCTTTTATTTTTACTGTAACCTGCCTCCAATAGTTGATCTTCAGAAAGGATTAAGAAATCCTGCCTGAAACTCTGGAGACTCGTTGCTAGTCAGTAGTAGTGGGTGAGAAAAATCAATGCTCTAGTTTAGTGTAAGGCAGCTTGTAAGACTCTGAGGGATAGTTAATTAGGCAGAGATGTGAATAGTTTGTCTTTTAATATGTAATCAAATACTGCTAAGCTTTTTCTGAAGAAAGGTTTGATGGTACTATTACATATCTTGTGTGTCCTCAGTTTCTTGTCACCAGAAATTAATTCTATAAAGAGAGAGATTACTTTTTTCCTACTGGGCAAGTGGCTATCTCTTTTGAAAATAAACCAAAGAATTTTGCATACGAATCATGCATTACCTACAGAAACATGTAATGTGTTGCCTCCCAAACACGTATTGTGAGAGATGGAATCACATACAATAAACATACTTTCACAAATGTTGTGTCCATATGCGCTTGAAGAGCTAAAATTATTATTATTTTTAAATTGAAGAGATGAGAGGAAAAAAGAACTGTTGGCTGCGTTATCACACTGGCATTGCTAATCATGTACAAGTACATTTGTATAGGCTCAGGTACAATTCAGCTACTATAATGTAGTAGCTTTATAACTTTCAATTCATGTCTCTCCTTTCCAGTGGTTAGTGGGGTTTGCTTCTTTTTTGTGGCCTTGGACGCCCATCTGGTTCCGAGCAATCTACAAACCTGTCCATGTTTTCTTTGGTTCTGTCATCCTTGGCTTGGCTACTGCATCCTGCATCTCAGGCATTAATGAAAAGTTATTCATGAGAGGGTGAGTAATGGAATTTGGTTATCAGGACATAATGAAAGAGGTCCTTGTGTTTTGCCTTTGATTCTGAGGTAACAAGTAATGTCTATAAAAAGTTAATGATTTGGCTTATCACTTTCAATCTAGAAGGAAAGAAAACTCAAGTTGATCTGGACTGAAATTGTTACGGATTTTGACAGTAACTAAAATACTTCTAAATATGAAGGGGGTGTTCCTAAAGATTTATCAGGCACCCAGAATCCAGCTACAGGGACGCCCTTAGGAATGAGTTCCCAGTGGCAAGTATTTTTCTTCAAATGTCTACATCAGTTTCTTCCAATATTGCACTTTCCATATTTAGAAGTTCCAGAAAGGGAGGTTTAACACCTCTTGGTGACCTAGGGATCGGGAAAGCTGGTATAGAAATATTTCCAACATTTGTATATTTAGTTTTTCCAACATAGCAAGTAAAGATGTGGAACTAAGTATGGAGATCTGTTGGAAAGAAATACCATAAGCATGTCTAGGTTTTGTATTATGACGTCAATAGCAAATATTTGGAAGTCTGCAAAAAAAGCTGGTAGATAAAGCCCCAGATACCACAGAAGAACCCATGGCGTAAAATGTTTATTAATGTATTCCAAGTATTCCCTTCTTTTTGCAGAAATATGTGAATTTAACTAGTTTTCATCAAACACTTTGTTTGACTATCCTCATAGAAAAAATTCAACATCGTATTCCAAGCTTCCTGCAGAGGCTTGGTTTGCCAACGTTCTGGGAATGCTGATTTTGGTGTTTGGAGTGTTAGTGTTGCTGGGTCTTGCCATACCAGAATGGAAACGTCCAGATGTGAATTCACAAGACTTTAGACAGGTGAAAAAGTATGCTACATTGAATGATAGAAAATGAATATGGTTTTTTGTGTGCTTTGAAATGTGTTTTTGAATGCTACAGAGAAAACACACACACACACACACACCTTATACCAAAACCCAGATGCGACTATATTCCAAAGAATTGGGGCAGACACAGAGAAGGCTTGACTCCAGGTCACCCATGTGACAAAGGTAACCAAATCTTCTCAGACAATCTCAGTTGAAGGGTGTTGGTGTTGGGAATCAAATAGGAGGTGTTTTCTCAATCTGTTTCAACCTCTAAACCACATTGGGCCTTGAAGTTAATATTCTGTACTTTCTATTTCACCCAAAAAGAAATACAAAACAGAATTGGGAGGAGGTTTGCAAACCCTTCTGGAGAGAATTCCTTAGAAAAGATATAAACCTGGTAAAGTGAGAATTAAATATTTAATTGATCAATCCTTATCCCATGGATCACCTATGGCCATGATGGTGAATCTATGGCACGCATGCCACAGGTGGCACACAGAGCCGTTTGTCAGGGCACGTGAGGCTTGCCCTGGCAGCTGACCAGCACGAATGCGCGCACTGGTCAGCTGACTTCAACCTTCTTTTGAGACCATTTTTCGCCCCCAGGAGGCTTCCCTGAACCCTCTGGAGCGCAAAAAACCAGCCCTATGGGCAAACCAGAAGTTCAGGAACAGATTTCCGCTTTGCTCATAAGGCCGGTTTTAGCCCTCCGGAGCGTTCAGAAGCCCTCAGGAGGCTTCCCTAAAGGATCTGGAGGGCAAAAAACGACCCTACAAGCAACCTGGAAATGATTTCCAGGTTGCTCGTAGGGCCGATTTTAGCCCTCCAGAGCATTCAGGAGCCCTCAGGAAGCTTCTCTGAAGGCTCCGGAGGGCTAAAACCAGCCCTACAAGCAAACTGGAAGTCTGTTTCTGAAGTCCCGGTTTGCCCATAGGACTGGTTTTTCACGCTCAGGAGGGTTCAGGGAACTCCTGAAGCCTCCGAAGGGCCACCAGGGGTGGGGGAGAGGCTGTTTTCGCCCTCCCCAGGCTCTTATAAAGCCTCTGGAGCCTGGGGAGGGTGAAAAAAGCATGCAAAAAATAGGGGGGGAGCGCTGGTATTGCGCACATGCGTGTTGTGGTCATGCACATAGAATTATGGGTGTGGCATGCCCGCGCACAACCCCCCCTGTGCTCCCCCCGCTTTTGCCATGTGAGCCAAAAAAGGTTTACCATCACTGACCTATGTGTAAATGCTTGGGTAAAAATTAGTTCTGGCAATCTGAAGATTTTAAAAACAAATAATTGCATGATTTTAATTTTATTCTACTAATATATAAACAAAATGCTAAAATTGTATGTATTAATCTCATTCTCCTGCCATGTACATTTAGCCACCATTCTGGCTAAATTTCAGTTTAAATGGAGTGGGCCAATTAAACAGATTGTCACCTTGAAAACTGAAAGATGAATTAATATATGGTAAACAGCTATACAACCATTGAAATAGGAATTTGTGACTCTAAATCAGGGCTGTCAAACTTGCGGCCTGCGGCCAGGATGCATCTCACGCTGGCTACACCCACACATGGTTTCACGAAGTGGGAGGGAAATCCCAATACGTCACGTGACACCGCTGTGATGACACCCCTGCTCTAGATATAATTAAAGAATAGTTTCCTACCATTATTTTCCAGTGTACATACTGATTGAAGTTGTTAGAAATTGTAGCCTAGCAATACTTAACAATACTACTTATCACTTATAGTTGAAGCCACTCATTTCTCAATACGTAGGCACAAATTTGAGACTTAGGACACAGGAACCTTCATTATATAGACTGTCTCTCTATTTTTCTGTAAAATGAGACAAACGACTTAAGATTTCATGAATTTTGCTCTCAGAATTTAACATGTGAATACTAATCTTAAAGATAATTTAAGCTACCACTTCCCCTTTCACTTTAGGAAAATAATGTTTTATTGAATCCAACTTCTGATTTGCTTCCTATACAGCCTCTATTACAAGATGCCAGATGAAGAATTAAAGAGCAGCTGTGTGGTGCTACCAGTAAAGGGTTTGTTCATTAAAACTTGAAGCCTTGCTTGCTGCTTCTCGTCATGAGTACAGCAGCTCACACCATGAACTGATTCAGTTAAGAGAAGGTTTTTCGGGTAACAGACATCCAAATTTGCTCTTCTGGGGTCTGATTTTTAAACTTGAAATGTTTGTACTATCAAGGATTGCTGGACATTCAATCACATTTGAACAAATCTGTTTGCTAGCGTGCCATAAAGTTCAGAGATTTTTGTGCTTTTCATTAGCCAATTAAAATCCTAAATAATTAATTAAAGAAAAACTGTCTTTTTCTGATACTTGGGTGAAAGGATGTACTACAATACTTTGGGTGTAATCTCAGTGCTGCGTTATTTTTTAATTGAATATGATATAATTTTCTGTGTTTTTTTTAATATGAATCTGTTCAGATTCCACATATTATAGAGCATAGTTTGTTAGTTTTCGGTTTAACATGTCAGTAGAAGCCAGCTAGTAGAGAGGGCCTTCTCTTGATTGAAAGGGAAACATTTTTTATTTTGTGCAGTAGTACCCTCAGGTAGACACCAAATCTTTTGCAAGTTCACCTACAAAAGTTGTGTTTATATAACACATTAAGCCATAATTTAATGTTGGTTTACCAGATAAACAAATGACTGGGTTCCCATAATATCTTAACCCTTGGTTTACAAAACACATTGACTGGATTCATATGATTGGACAAATAAGCAAACCAAATGTGGCACAGTGCAATAGTTTTTAAACATTTTGGTCTCGGGACCACTTTATTTTGTTGAAAATCATTGAAAACTCCAAAGAACTTTGGTTTATATAGATTATATCTATCAATATTTACTGTGTTAGAAATTAAAACTGAGAAAATTTAAAGATATTTGACTTTGTGGATCCCTTGGAAAACTGCTGGTATAATGTTTTATGGAGATGCAACTATCTTGCTACCTTTTTATGATTTCCATTTACTTGAAATGGTAGGATATCAATAGAGATAATATTTTTCCAAGCACTTTTTTGATTACTGTAAACACTTCTGATCTAAAGAAAACATTGAGATTTCATGGCCTGTAATTAAGTATTCAGACATGCTAATTAAATAAGATTTTTTTTAAAGTATTTTTTTCCCAAATGGTCAAAAAACTGAACTACATATTTCCCACCCACAGTGTTCTTCTGTATCTATTTGTGTCAGTGGAACATAATCTTACTTTTGTGTTAACAGTAGTGTGGCTACTGAAATCCAATTGATAAAACATAATCATTAGTTAGGCACCTTTAAATAGCCTGTGTTTGCTACAAATTTATTCTCCGAACAGTAAACTTTGTGCTTGTGTTAGGGGGAAGAGCAGACTACTACATATATTTGATTTGATTTGATTTGATTTGAAATTTATTTGTATGCTGTCCTTTTCCCTGGGGGGACTCAGAGCGGCTCACAATCAAAAAGGGAGGGGGGNAGGGAGCTGGAACTGGTTCTAAACGGCACTGTAGATTTGTGGAACCTCTTCTATAGAAGAGGTTAGAACTGGCAGGAACCCACCCCTGATACACACATACCTTTTCTTTGTAAAAACCTGGAACCTCAGGGATAAAATTTCTGCAGCCTACCTTCTTCACAAGCCAACATTTTCTGGGAAATATAGGAATAATCCTCTTCAAGTAGCGGTCCTTGTGTATTCATTTCCTCGTAGTCTTGGTACTCTATGAGCAATGAAATCATTATATGGTTCAGAGTGGTAAAAGCACAAAGAGAGATCGTGAGGAGCTAAAAAGGCTCTTTGCATCTTAGGGGAGTTGACCTCAAAACTGCAGATGATAGCCAATGTGATGATGCAGACTGGGTCAAAAATCCTGCTTCTCATAAAGGCTAATGAGATCAGAGTTAGCAGTGACAAATGACAACAGAAATCTTGGAATAATGGTAAACAGTTCAGTGAAGCTATCGACAGTGTCCATACATGGTAAAACAAAAGGCTAATAGTATGTGAGGGGTAATAAAAAGATACCAAAAGCAGGCTAATATTATAAAGCCCTTAAGGTTTATATAAATCATGAAGAAAACAATTAGGCTTGGAAGGGTTAGCAGTGAAAGGAAACCAGGCCACTAAAGAATATGGTGACCTGACACCAGGCAGAGCATAGAACAACATAGAAATTATGCAAGATCAGAAGACATGTAGAGACCTGGCCCATAGAATCACCAAGAGATGGGCACGATTGAATAGATAACATCATATTAAGGAATTGGGCAACAGCTGTCCATATAAAGTTGGAGACACTAACACAAACTTGTAGCCTTTTATATAAATGAATGTATTTAGCATTCAAACTTTAATTAGAATAGGCTGGAAGGGACCCTGCTCAAACAGGAAACCCTATACCCGTGATGGCAAACCTAAGACACAGGTGGCATGCAGAGTCATTTATTAGGGCATGTGAGGTGTTCCCTGTCAGCTAGCTCCATGCACACTGGCCAGCTGACTTTGCCCTTCTTTTTCAGCCGTTTTTCGCCCTCCGGAGGCTTCAGGGAAGCCTTCTGAAGCTTCTGGAGGGCCTCTGGAGGGAGGAGCTGTTTTTGCCCTCCCTGGGATCCTAGAAAGCCTCTGGCGCCTGGGAGGACAAAAAACGGGCTTATCACACACCGAAAGTGGGAGGGAGCGTGAGGCACCTCTTCCGTCCTCGGCTCTTGCGAAGAAGCAGTGGCTCTGGGTGCACCACGCCCCCTTCATTCTCTTTGAAAGCCGCTTTGCACCTTGCTTGCAAACACGCCCTTGGATCTCATTGCCACCACTACCCCCGCCACTTGGAGCTCCAAGGGGACGGGGCAGTTGCAACGCCGGCGGCTTCAGGAGATGCTGGCCAGTGGGTAGGGGTGGCTAGGCTAAGCGCAAATGCTTATCTGTTTGTAGGCAGGAGGAGGCAGTTCTGTTGCAGAAAATCAGGAGATTTGGACTACGAGATCCAGATAAGCTTTATTTGGCCAAATGGCTCAGACAGTGTAAACCCACATTTGACGTCTGAGCCAGGTTCTTAGGGAAGAAAGCATCAAAGAACTTATGGACTATGAAATACTATTTGCAAAATATTTGATAACACTGCTGAGAATTAAAGATAAGCTGACCTTTTAACCTTGCTTATGGACTGATGTTCGCTGCTTCAAAAGGAGATTGGACTAATTCATGGAAATCCTGGCTTCCATGGCTATTAACTTTCGTGGCAAAGGTCTGGCCTTACACGCCATTTTCTGGGAGGCCACTGGGCTTCCTGGTCAGAGTGATGGGCCACAGGGAGACCACAGACTGCTGGACTAGATGAGCCGGTGAGTCTGATCCAGCTGGGTTGCTTAGATTCTGATGCTCTCTACTTTGAGAAATGCCAGATGGTGTCCTGGGTTTCCCCACCATCCTGATTGGACTCCTTCTTCCTTTGTCCACCATAAGAGAGCACTGAGAGGCCAGCAGTGGGCTTGGAAGGGACCTAGGGAGACCCTCCGGGGAGCAGGTGCAGAACTAGCAAAGCTCTCATGTCTGCCTGGGATGGGGGAGAGGCAAGAATAACAGAAGGGAGTGGGGTGGCACAATCTTGTGATGTAAAAGTGGCTAATGGCTTGTTTGTGGACAAGGTTCATCCAAGGCCAAAAGAAACGTATAATTATTTCACAGACATGTTTTCTTACAATCCTCCTCTAAATAAGATTCCTTGAAAAGGAGTTTTTGCCCCCACGGACAGCAGAAAGTGGGGGAGGCTGCCGAGGAAGGGATTCTCTTCTTAACGTGGCCCCACCAAGAGAGTTATGTGAGAGTTCAGCCTGATGCTCAGTAAGGGTCCCAAATGGGAGATTTCTTCTTTTCTGTTCCTCCACCCCCAAATTGGGAAGTATCGTGTCTCCCCCTTCAAGGACCCCATCCCACTTGATCTCCCTGGCCTCCCTCCAATTGGAGGAAGTGAGGAAGCTCCTGGTCTTTGGCCCCCACTTGGCCTTCAAAAACAGAGGTGCCAGAAATGTTCTTGGCTAGGATGCAACTGGTGGGGAGCCTGATGGGATCTTGTGTCCCCAGGTGGATCGTGGTGAACTTGATCCCTCATTTGTTTGTTTGGAAACAGAAAGGATCTTCCACTAGGATCTTCTGCCTTCATAGCAGAATGTCCACCAAGGCCATCTGATCACCCATCTCAATTTAATAATTATAATATGGACAGAAAACTTCAGTTATGGGGCAAGGATGAAATTATAAACATTTTAAAAGCAATATACATTTTTCAATAACTTTTTCAAAAGAGTTAGGCAGCAGCAGTTCCTGTGTGGAGGGCCCCTCTTTCTCCCCCACTCCAGCTACTGGTGGGGAATATGGGGAAGGAGGAGCCATCCCACCCATCGCTCACCTTCGGTCTCATTGTGGAGACAACTCCCAAGCTCTGGGTTAATTCGCAACTCTTTCTCTACATCATGAAAAATCTGGGTCTGATTGTCCCAGAACTGGGGGTTCTCCTTCTCCATCTTCTCTGCCCAGGACACTCGAGGCTGCATCTTCCTGCTGCTGCTGTTGTAGTAACTGAAGAGTTGATCATTCAGATACCCCAGAGCAATATAGTGGGGTAGCTCCTGACTGGGGTCCGAGATGGCGATGTGTAAATACTTGAGGGTATGGGAGGAATAGTCTGGAAGGGACACAGAGAAACTGAGTTAGACAGCTTCTGCTGAGGGACCCTGATCCTATGGGGCAGAGCAGACCCCAGTTTGTTGTTGTAGGGAGGAAAAGGGAGAAAGAAGGGAACTGAGCAGCAGAGGAAGAAGAGGGAAAGGAAAGGGGAGCAAGAGGAAAGAGGAAGAGGAGGCAGAATGTGGAAAGAGAATCACTGAGATGCAGAGAAGCAGCTTCTGGAGGGGTTGGGGAAGAAAGAAGTTTGAAGGTGTATGAGAAAGAGAAGAGAAAGCAGGTTAAAAGGGAGAACAGGATTCTCCAAAACTATCTCCCCCCCACCCCAATTGGGCACTTCCAACCACAAAGAAAAGTAGAAATGCCCCTCAGCCATCTTGGGAGAACAGTGATCAGGGCTGATCAACTTGCAGTGTAAATGCCTGGATCAGAGTTTCTCAGACTCAACCACTTGGTGTCAGGGTTCCAAGTAAGACCACCAATGAAAGAAGACTTTTATTAGAGATGTCATATCGGCACATCTGGGAAAACATGAATATGAGAGTTTCGGGTTTTCTCCACCCAAAAGAAAGTCAAAGATCCATCCCCTGCACCCACAAGTCCATCACATGGTCCAATCATTTCTCCAACCTAACTGGAGACAACCCTCCGGGGGCCAGCAGAGAGGGGAGAGTGTGAGGTTGCTGCTTCTGGGATGAGGGAACCGAGAAGCGTCTGGGTCCAGTTTACCTGGCTTCTCTTCCTCCTGCAGCCAGCTTTCCCAGTTTAGCTTGACAAAGGCTTCCTGCACAGGCCCCTGGCCGTTTTCCCCTGGCTGGAAAAAGCTAGGCAAAAAGCCAGCCCTCACC